TGCCCTTCCTAGAGACCTAGTCAACAAAAGTCCTACACATGGCTTCCAGTTCCAACAGTTTATTGCCCAAGAAGACCTCAAAGATCGCTAACAGTGACATGGGCCTAACTGCACCTCCCATGTGCATCAATGAGCCTTGGCCGCCCATGACCCTGTCACCGGTTTTCCTTCCTTGGACAACTTTTGGCCATTCCTGACCACTGCAGACCGGGGACTTCTGACCAGAGCTGCAGTTTTAGAGTTGCTCTGACCCAGTCGTCTAGACATCACAATTTGGTCCTCGTCCCACAAATCCTCACACTTGTCCATTATTTCTGCTTCCAACACATCAACTTCAGGGGCGTAATGTTTTATATATCCCCCCCACTTCCAGGTGCCATTGTAATATATCCCCCCCACTTCCAGATGCCATTGTTACCAGATCATCCATGCTATTCCCTTCACCTCTCAGTTGGTCATACTCTTATGGCTGATCGGTGTATAATTAAGAAAAGTAAGACAAGCTTTTGACTTGCAATCCCGAATAAACGTTAGGAATCCTCTTAGCATCCCAAAAGACGCCATTTTTTTCAGTTGGAGTCCTCGGAGTACTTTCCGTGGTAATTGGCGTCTCGTTAGCCTCCTCTCTGGGATTTTGCTCGAATTGTCATTCCAGTACTTAGAGCTGTAGACTGGATGTCATATGGATTTTGTGTTGTCTTCTTGACACCCGTAGACTCCGGGTTCATGTTATTTTTAGCTGTGCTGGTTGTCACAATGTTAATTCCGATCATACGACACTTGCTAAGCGATTATTCCTCCGCAGTTGTTACAAAATGTTGCTTTGTAAGCTGCCTCTTGTCCACATTGCTCGCCGTTATTGATTTGCCCGGAGGAAATGCTGCCAATGTGATGTATGTTATCCTCCTTTAAGATTCCGTGTTTTCTTCATAATGAGGCTGCCATAGGGAAGCTGTCAGAAATTTTGGGGCCCCTTACGTGGCTTTAGGCCGGGCCCCCCCCACCGCTGAACACGGGCTTAGTGACGCGCTGGACACAGGGCTTAGCGACGCACAGGACCCACCTTAGAGTGACCCTGCAGAGCCCACCATAGATGCTGCACAGCCCATCTGAGACTGTCTATGGTGGGCTCTGATGGGGTCTCAGGTGGGCTGGTCAGGGCTGCATCCCTCCCTCCTTTCCTTCCTACCTTCCTAGCTCCTCTTACCTGCACACGTGGCCTCGTCTGTCGCCGGACAGGCCAGAAGTGACGTCACGTCACTAACGTGACGTCACTTCCGCCCAGTACGACATCAGACGAGCAGCGTCGCTGATGGGGCCCCAGCTTGTCTCGAAGCCGCTGGAGCAGCAATGCTGGGGCCCTGTGCTGCTAGGGCCAGTCCTCCGCCTCCTCGCCCTTCACTGTTGGCCGATAGTCATGTAAGGGACCCGGGCCGGCCCCCCATGCTGCCCGGGCCCCTTACATGAGTATCGGCCGTACCCCCCCTGATGGCTGCCCTGGGCGGCCATATGCCTGTCACACGCTTTCCATTCCGGTGAGTGTCATCGTTACCAGCCAGCAGAAATGTCTTCTTGAGTCAGTCATAGTTTTCATTGGACATGTACGGCTGAAGAGGTCCGTCTACTTCCGATACACTGTGTACATGACTGCCCCAAAAACTGTCTATAGCACTTGAGTACATAGCACTGACATTTCATGAATTCCTCATTTGATTCCATTAAAGCTGAACTCACTCAAATGAGCACAACTGTATTTATTAATATAGCGTTACATGGCTTTTTTTTTTATTAAAGGAGAAGTATGGGGTCAGTGTTTTTCCCCATAGTTCTCCAAGGGTCACGGGAGAAAACAAACTAGCGTCCTCCCGTCACCCAAAGCTCAGTATATAGCAAGCTACAGCTCGCGGTATACTGAGACCGCCACAGCCGGGACGGATCCCGACATTACTGTCTGGATCCACCCAGCTGCGTGAGTGACAGCTGACTCTACCTATCCAGAGGCAGAGCCAGCTGTACCCGCCCCCTCCCCGTCCGTTCCACCAGTCAGCGCTGGAGGATCGGAGAGGGGAGGGGGGGGAATCCCTGCAGGGAGCCGTGAGTGACAGTCTCGGCTCTCTGCAGGGACAGGATCGAGAAGTGAGCGAGCGACGGTATGTGTTGCCTCACTTCCCGATCTATTGAGCCGACGTGTGAGACAGTTTCATTGTCACAGGTCGGCTTGAACTATGAGGATGAGTGATTTTCACTCACCTCATAGTTCTCCTTTAATGGAAACAGTGGGAATATGGCTTGGGATCAGTCTCATGCAGTCTTCTGTACAATCTGTACAGCAGAGCTCATAGAGGGGAGGGAGAGCAGCACAAGGAGCTGATCGTTTGTAGAAGAGGCATGCTGATAGGATGAGAGAGCAGAGTGAGATGGAATGATCAGTCTGCTGCTGCTTCTCCTTGTAATGTCCAGTCACAGGGTGGGGAGGAGACCTGTAAGTGAAACTGTAGCAGTGGTAGATCAGGTCGGTCCTCTCACCTGCTAAACTGGGTAGATGGTGATGGAGCAGTTGTGATCAACCACCATGAAAGGGAGATGGTAGATGGTGAGGGAGCAGTTGTAGCCTACCACCATGGAATGGAGATGTTGAGTGGTGATGGAGCAGTTGTGGTCAACCATCATGGAAGGGAGATGTGAGGTGGTGAGGTAACAGTTGTTGGCCACCACCATGGAAGAGAGATGTGAGGTGGTGAGGGAACAGTTGTTGTCCACCACCATGTAAGGGAGATGTGATGTGGTGAGGGAACAGTTGTTGTCCACCACCATGGAAGGGAGATGTGATGTGGTGAGGGAACAGTTGTGATCTACCACCATGGAAGGGAGATGTGATGTGGTGAGGGAACAGTTGTTGTCCACCACCATGGAAGGGAGATGTGATGTGGTGAGGGAACAGTTGTTGTCCACCACCATGGAAGGGAGATGTGATGTGGTGAGGGAACAGTTGTGATCTACCACCATGGAAGGGAGATGTGATGTGGTGAGAGAACAGTTGTTGTCCACCACCATGGAAGGGAGATGTGAGGTGGTGAGGGAACAGTTGTTGTCCACCACCATGGAAGGGAGATGTGATGTGGTGAGGGAACAGTTGTGATCTACCACCATGGAAGGGAGATGTGAGGTGGTGAGGGAACAGTTGTTGGCCACCATCATGGAAGGGAGATGTGAGCTGGTGAGGGAACAGTTGTTGTCCACCACCATGGAAGGGAGATGTGAGGTGGTGAGGGAACAGTTGTTGTCCACCACCATGGAATGGAGATGTTGAGTGGTGATGGAGCAGTTGTGGTCAACCATCATGGAAGGAAGATGTGAGGTGGTGAGGTAACAGTTGTTGTCCACCACCATGGAAGAGAGATGTGAGGTGGTGAGGGAACAGTTGTTGTCCACCACCATGGAAGGGAGATGTGAGGTGGTAAGGAAGCAGTTGTTGTCCAACACCATGGAAGGGAGATGTAAGGGAGCAGTTGTGGTCTAACAGTCCCTGCCCTCAAGGAGCATACACTCTAAGAACCCTATCTCACAGAGTAGGGCAGATTTACCTATCCACATGTCCTTGGAGTGCGGGAGGAAACCCACACAAGCACAGGGAGAACATGCAAGCTCCATGAAGCTAGTGTCCTGGTTGGGGTTCAAACCAAAGACCCCAGTCCTGCAAGGCAGAAGTGCTAACCACTTAGCCACTGCACTGGCCATGTCTATAGCCTCGGGTGATGGACATTAAAGCCCCATTCCGTTATCCAATACATAGATTTTGCAAGAGGGATGTCAGCACCTGAGCTAATATCACATATACATGTACAAAAAACACACCATGGAACTGCTAAGCTGCAGTAGAATACATTTCTGGTTTTGGTTTAGATATGCTTCAATTTTTTTATGAATGAAAGCGTACATACCGTACAGTCAGGTGTCTTCCACACAACCACATGACAAGCCAGGTCCATCTTCTTCTACAATGGTGGACGGTCCTCATCGCCACATAGGATGGCACTCACGTGGTGACTAGTGAGCACCATGTTATGAGAGCCCAAGCTGCATGATGTCATTGACACCTGGGACTCAAGGAAGAGGCTAAAGGACACTGGGGGTCATTCAACCCGGAAGTGTAAAGGTGACCCGTGGTGGAGTAGGACACATTTTTGGGGGGTTTTAACCATTTTAAATGGGGGTACAGAGCTTAGAGTTGGGATTTTTTTTTAGATTTGAGTTTTTATTTGTTGTAAAGTATCAAAAATCAAACATTTGCAACCTGGGGGCTTCTAGTGTGGTTGCTTCTATAGAGGTGTACATAGAAAATAACACGAGATAAGGATCTGTAGGTTCATGATCCATGCAAGGAAGCTGCCATGGTACCATGTAAATGGATGACAGGAGAAGGAGGAAGGGTGGAGTG